CATTAGAGGGACTGATTGAAAGTGGCGGTATTTTTTGAAGTTCTTAAGATTTGTCACTAAAAGAGAAGATAAATAAAGTGTTGGAGTTGGGCCGACCTAACTCCTCATCCAAAAGGCCTTATTGAGTGGGAGGATTGCCCACTCTTATAAACTCATTGGCTTGAGTGTGCCTAGTCGATATGGAATCTCTAACACTCCCCCTCACGGTCAAGCCCATATAGTCCACTTGCCTATGAATAGAGGTAGTTTGACAGCCCACCGCTGGTCAATCACTAAGCTCAAATGGAGTTGGCTCTGATACCACTTGTTGGAGTTGGACCTAACTCCTCACCCAAAAGGTCTTATTGAGTGGGAGGATTGTCCACTCTTATAAACCCATTGGCTTGAGTGTGCCTAGTCGATATGGGATCTCCAACATAAAGTCTTTTTAGTCAAAAAGTTTATGCATTTTGACCATGGAAAGATGACTATCAGTCTAAATTATTTCTACTTCTGCTCGTATAGGCGAAAAAAGTAGAAAGAATGATAAGCTCATAACTAATATAGAAGCCATGATAGATGCTTTACGAAATGAGTTTGATATTTAACAAACGCATTCTTCAGAAAAATAAAGACCAAAAACAAGAACAAGGTGATTCTAAACCTACTAAAGAAAACCTGTTGACTTACCATTTAGTGAATTGATTTGTTAGAAAGTAGAATAAAAGTTAGTTCAAAACCCAAAAGCAAGCTTGTAGTTAAATTAGCGTTATCTGTCACCATTTTCGTACGTGACTTGACTTGCAGAAAACTTTTGCTGTAAGTTGAAAATTATCCGACCTTATAACACGTTTTCTTACTGGAGGATTCTGAACTCACCTCACTCATATAATAATTAATAATAAAGTAAGAAATCTTTCATAATGAGACTACAGTCATGTAAAAACTAATTTTCAAACATATAGCGATAGAAATGAAACAATTCCTAAGTTCTAGATAGCTTAAGCAATTATATTTTCTCAAACTTGCAACTTAAATCAATTTGCACTTTAAATTGTTTAATTGGTTCACTCTGAGGCTCTAGAAAACCCAAGAACAGTCTAAACAAGAGAGCCAAAGAGTCAACTTGCAAACAACCCAAAAGTAAACGATCTTCTGCAACAAATAAAGAAAATTGTAAGGGGATGACTGCAATATCCCAAGAGTGAACAGAGAAGTTTTTGGGACAGGATTTAAGTAAGTAGATGTACATAAACTTGTGCGGGCATGATCTATTTCTCAAAGCGGAAAATTTCCACTTGGTAGGACATATCCCCTTTCTTAAATGGGATGATATTTGTATCAAAGTGAACTCGCTACCCAATAGGTCATTGGGTAGATGGGCAGAGTGTGATTACCTCACAAGAAGGCGAATACATAAAGTGGGGACCTCACGAGAAGATAAAGTGAGCTTGTTGTCTGATGGACGGATTAGGCGGGTGCGATGACCTCACAAGGAGATCACGTTCATCAGGTGAAGACCTCACGAGGAGACAAAGCAAGCTTGCCACCCAAGAGGGCAGGTATCCCCCTACCTAATGGGGTGGGTGTGATGACCTTAACGGATGAGCCCAACCAAATAAAAAGTGTCTGCTTTGGAAGGTGTCACACCTGACCTTATAAATATGAAGAACAAGCAAATGCTCCAAATCTGTCAGAAAGTAGATTTGGACATTAGCATTCGTGTAAGTTGTGGTACAAATGTGCAGCCCATGCTTGCTTCCCGTTTATCATAGCCAAAGGAAAAGCATATCCATTGCAATATCCTTTTATGTCCAACCATATTCACCATTGTGAATATGCTATATCACATTTCACAAAACTGTAGGACTTCTTAACTAAAGAATCCGAAATCTTCAACAACCTCGCATTAAAAGAACTATCATAAAGAAGATCACATTATTCATCAAATTCACAACTTAAATTAACCACATTTCAAAACAGAGTATAATTCCAACCAGCTTAATTTATAAACAAAAGAAGAATGCTTCAGGACTATCTGCAAACAATACTACATAAACAATTTTACCAACTCTCATTGCTCTTACATGGCATGAGAGTCTTTTATTCAAAAGTTTCATTATAGTTATATTATGAAAATTTACATGCACAATATTATTCCTATTTGATGTGCCAATAGGCAAAACAGTACGATTGAGTATCAAAAGTTGTGTGTATTAACTTTGAAATAGAAGAAACTCTAATTCTTTCCATATAGAAATGGTAAAAGATTTGTGTTCTAAGCTTGTATTATGTAGTACATGAATACATATAGATATAAATGTAATTAATCTTGGTTTCCATCTATAGTATTTCTAAACAGAGGAAGTTACACAAATTATAAAATCACAATTCCGGAATATACCGCGGGGAAACCCAACTTTCATCAAATTTACAATACCTACAAGCACAAAAATTAGAATTGGCACTAAGAAAAAGAGGTAGGACTTGGAGGACGTGGGATATCTGCTACGCCTTCCAACATTGATACAACCGCTTTCATTGAAGGACGGAGTGGTGACTCATATTGGATGCACCAAAGTCCCACATTAGCAACTCCAGCTTATCAACTTTATCATCACCCACAACTTTTCTAAGCTCATCAACTTGAAAACAACGGTAAACCCATTCTTCAAGAATAACTTCTTCCTCAGAAAGGGTTGAGTCCACATATCGTCGACAGTGTATGATCTCAAATAGTAAAATTCCAAAACTGTAAACATCTACTTTGACTGTCACGGGTAGCTTACTATGCCATTCCAAGGCAACATACCCTTTTGTCCCTCTAATCTCAATAAGTGATCTAGTCTGATCACGGTTAAGAAGTTTTGCCAATCCGAAGTATGATATTTTTGCACAATTATACTCATCAATGAGAATGTTTTGAGGCTTTATATCACAATGAATAATCCGGGTCTCACAATCTTTATGAAGGTATAGAAGACCTCTTGCTATGTTGCGATGCGAGCAATATCCATCCGCTGATCCCAATAAGGTTGCTTTTCTGGTGTAAAGAGCAAATCTGCAAGTGAACCATTGCTCATGTACTCGTATACCAAGAGCCTATTAGGCCCCTCATGGCAGTAGCCAAGTAGACGGACTAAGTTTCGGTGATTAGTCCTCGCAATTGCTTTCATCTCAATCTGAAATTCTTTTTCTCCTTCAGTTGAAACTCTATCGAGTCTCTTAACAACTATAACCTTCTGACCATGAGATATTTCCCCCCTGAAAACTATCTCAAATGCTCCTCTACCAATCTCTTCACTAAAATTGTTAGTCACACTCAATAGTTCCAAGTAAATGATTTTGGACCAACACCCAAATTAGCATGGATCTAGTTAGAAATAGCCAGATCGTTGTGGATCTAGTTGGAAATGGCTAGATTCGCAACGATCTAGCTGTTTTCGCCTTTGATCTAGTCAGAAATAGCCAAAACAGTGCATGAATAACCAACTCTCATCAGTCATGTGCCATTTCAGTGACTGTCGGTGGTGATAGCCGATAGCTGACAGTGGTCTTGGATGGTTGGAGATATTTTATTAAAATTTAAACTTTGTTGTTAGGCGCTTTAGCTAAATTCTCAAATATAATGGGTTAAAAGAATTTATTTAAATAATAATAATAATACAATGATATTAAAAAGGAATGACAATTCAGTAAAAACTTTTGTCGATAATATTTTATTCTTCCTAACCAAATATCTTAATTATTTGTACCCACTAATTTAACCAAACATATTAATATAACATTCCCCCATAATCTTCAAAGTAATCAATCTCGTTGGCAATCCTACCTTTTCAATAATAAAACATTCTCTGAACCAAACTCACCTTTAAAGTAATCCACAAAAAACAAATTTGTTGACTGACTTTATTTAAGGACACATGAAGGAAAGACTTCATTGACTGGGACAATTAAGGAGTGGACAACAATCCAATGCAAACAGCTCATCGTGATTGAAGGCAAAAGCCAATACAACTAATCATATTTGTTACTGATAGACATACTGGGATCATTAACAAGTTCATAAGAGGAAGGAGAAAGTATAACAAATTTTTCCTATCAGTTTTCAATAATATTAGCCTAAACTTAGTATCACATCCATGATTTATTTTTGTGCCAATCCCAAATATCAAAAAGACAGTAGCTAGAAAATACTATGTGATACTTAGAACGAGACACAGGAATGATGTCTCTGGAAAGACAAAAAGATAAGTAATGGAAATCGAGTTATCAAATGATAACTATAGAAGGAATTGGAGGGACTGGTATATCCATAGTTCCTTCTAACATCAAGATCACATTTTTCATAGCAGGATGCAGATTTAGGTCATCTTGAATACACAACAATCCGACATTCACCATCCTTTCCAAGGTTTTCATGTGTACTTCTTCCTCCCCAATAACCTTGATTAACTTTCCAGCAACAAAGCAATTGTATACCCAACTGGCAAGAAGCACTTCATCTACTGTTGAAACATTCACTTCCAGATAACTTCCAACAGCACCACTCCATAACTATAAACATCAGACTTCACCGTTATTAGGCCATTCGTTTGCCATTCAGGTGCCATATAACCTCTACTCCCTTTATGACCCGTATCCATTAGATGTTGATTTCGCATTGAGAACTTTGCTAAGCTGAAATCACAGATCTTAGCCGTCCAAGAATCATCTAGATGTATGTTTTGGGGCTTAATATCACAGTGAATGATTTGGATCTCGCACTTTTCATGAAGATAATGGATTCCTCTGGTAACATCTAGTGCAATTCTCACTCTTTCTTTCCATAGGGGACGCCGTTCAACATTGAATATGAAATTTGCAAGAGAACCATTACTCACGTATTCATAACTGAGAAGCTTTCTGGATCCTTGCATGCAAAAGCCAAGCAAGCACACCAAGTTCCTGTGATGTGTTCTTCGAACTGCAGCCATTTCTGCTCGAAACTTCTTTTCTCCTTCTTCACCAACACTTTCTAATCACTTCACAGCAACCGTCTTGTTACCCTCACATATAGCCCTTTTATAGACTGCTCCAAGACAACCTCTTCCTAACACTTCCTCAAACCCGTTCGTGGCTAGCTCCAGCTCATTATTAGAAAATGATTGCAGAGAGAATTCTTTGGTTAGACCAAAATTTGAATTTTCGCAAAGCTCTCTGTATCTACTCACTCGGTGTTTGTATACAAAGAAACTAGAAATTGCAATGAGCAAACACATGAACGCCATAAAACCCAAACTTGCTGTAAGAATTGTGATAAAGACTATAGCTGATATGTTCTTATCTTCCATCCCCAACATCAGTGGAAGTTTCAGTTTACCACAAGTTCTGTCCAAATACAGAGCAGCTGCACAATAACAATCACTTAGGCATGACTCTTTGCAATCTTCCTTATTCACTGGTAGCAAAGGGTATGGAAAACCTCCCAACATTGTATTCTCAATACCAGTAATGTTATGAAACACTTCTGGCTCATTCCTTTCACAACCTTCTTCTTCATTAAAGCTCTTGTAGCAACCCAGATTCCTCACACCAGGATTGATGTACTTAAATCCTGGAAAGCAGTAATAATTAGCTATGCCACCAGGACTAGAATAGAAGCTATTAAAACCACAGAAACCGGTCACCTTACACTGCTTCAACTTTGCAGATGACTTAGTGGTCACATTAGAGTTACCACTGATCTCAAAGCGATGCGAGTATAGCCTTAAAATCCCATCAAGATCAAGTGTAGCACGACAAATCACAGTCTTGCTGTCTGCAGGATAAGAGCTATTGGCTATAGTTTGCAAAGTCTCATTTCCTGCAGTTAACTGTAAAGCTCCGCTAAGACTAAGATTTAACACTAAGGAACCATGGCTAATCAGGGGTGCGTTTGTTTTGTTATTTTAGATAGGATTTCGGGAATAATATTGGGTAGTTGAATAGGGTGAGTATTACGAGGTAAAATTTAAAATTTAACCAAAAAACCCCTTAGGTTTGCTAATTTAACTAAACACCCCAATATATATAAATTTTGTAAAATGACAAAAACACCTCCACCCACCACACTGCTAGATTCTAGCCACCACTGCCAGAATCTGGTCAAAATCTGCCATTACGATGCAGACCGGTCAGATCTGACCGGTGGTGTGTCGATCTGGCCTTTTTCAACCATATCCACCACGGATCTGGTCGAAAAATGCCAGATCTGGTCGTCGACGGCTGCAAAAGGCTAGATCTAGCCGTCAAAGATGGCCATTTCTTTGGCTGTCGCTAACGGCCAGATCAGTGAATAAACGGCCAGTTTCGATCGTTTTTAAGCCGTTGCGACAGATTCTGGCCACCACTGACAGTGGTTGCCAGAATCTGGCAACTATAGGTGGGTGGGGTTATTTTTGTTAATTTTTAAACTTTTTTTCTGGGGGTGTTTTTAAGTTAATAAACTTAAGAGGTCCCAAAAAAACTTAAGGGGTCCCAAAAAGTAATTAAAAAATAGAATAGTATTTCCCAAATAATTAAACAAACAAGTATTTTAGGAATAGGATAGGGAATAGGGTTTGAAATAATAAAACAAACGGACCCAAGATATTTACTTTCCAGTAACATTCCTCCGGAATACCAGTATGATTTACTGGGTAGGCAGCCAATCCATCATCATCCACATCGAGATAAAATTGTCCACTCATCACCAGTCTACAACTAGACGAACGGTGGTCAACTCTCAGATACGAAACTGGTGGATTATACCACCCGGTTGGGCTATCAAAGCTATCCCATATGACTTGAGATTCATTGCCATAGATGACAAAGTTACAAGAATCCAGCATAGAAGATGAAGCACGCTGCTCAGATAATTAAGTAATGGTTTTCTCATCACCTTGGTGTGTTCGAAGAAGAAGACCATGTGTGGTGAACTCAATAGTAGAATTCAAGGGGACTGGCAGGTCATCTCGATTTGCAGTCCACACAACAGTGACATTAGGTTTATCAACCAGCCAAATTCCCACTGCAAATTCATTGCCTTGTTGATAGAAACCAAATGCAATATGACCTGACACCGAGCACCAGGAATTACGACTAGTGTTGGGGACTAATGAAGATCCTAGGCTAATTTTTTCTAGTTCAGCTCATGTATGCAAAATAACTAGAAAGAGTAAGAAGCACATAACCAGAACAGAAGCCATGAGAGAACCTTCAGGACACAAGTTTGATATTTAACAACCTTGCATTCTTTGAAAAGAAAAAAAAAAAGGGACCATAAACAAGAACCCATTGATTCTTTTTTCTGACTCTTCTAGATAAAGTAGACATGTTGACTTATCATTTAGGTAACTGTGTTGGTTTTATGAGCATGAATATAGTCTTACGGGAGAGAAAAGGATGAAAAACAAGAAAAGGAAAGAGCTGAAATATTGCATTGTATTAAACTGAAAAATTATAGCAGACATATATACATGACAGACACTATTGCACCTAACCATAAAACATATTTTAGTCCAAAATGGCTTCCTAACCACACAAACTTAGCAACTTTGATTACATCACATTAATTTGATACAAAGTTGACAACCTAAATACATGCTGAACTCACCAAAATACATCACTTCAGCATGCCTACAGAACAGCAACGTGAACTGCTCCAGACCAGATTTTCAAACTTCAGCCTTCTTCTTTTGCCGCCAGAACAGCTCCAGTTTAATCCAAAATAATGCTTCAAGCAAAATATCACTTCTTTGAACAAACTGGCCTTGTAGAAGGTAGAATAGAAGAGTGTTATCTGCCACCATTTTGTCCAAGACTTGACTTGGAAACAAACTATTGCTGTAAGTTGAAAGTGGGCAGGCCTTGTAACTTGTTTCTACAGAGATATAGCTCATACATATAGCAATAGAAATGAAACAATTTCTATGTTGCAGATAGCGTAAGAGATTACACCTTTTATTTGGTTTCATTATGAAGCACCATAACACGCAAAAAAAGTCTAAACAGGAAAGTGAGAATGAATGTATCAAAAGTTCATACGGTTAAATTAACAGTTAAAGAGATACACTGATTATACAATGAAGAAAACACTTTTAGTTGGAGAGAGGTGAGCGGATTAAACCTTTCGTACAGATGCACGCTGGATTTTACTGAAAAATGTCAAATCGGCGTACGACCGACCAAATGTAGTCAATCATGTGCAATTCTGACAATTGCTGGCCACCGTCCGACAGTCACCTAATAGAAGACATGAAATTATGACTATTGCCGTATAGGAACATGGAAGAAAATTACCTGGATTCATATCAATAAGCCAATGATGATGGCTGAAGTCATTCTCACTTGCAACTTGCATGTAAATCTATTTAAGTCATTCTCACTTCACAACTTCATTCAACTTACAAAGCAATTTTTCATTTGGTTCAATGTACGCAACCCATAATAAAGAACGCTAAGAAATTTCTAAGAAGAAAACAAGAAGCTTAAATTTGAAAATAGTTTGTCCATTGTCCTGTTTGTATAATCTTGACTTGCCTGTTCATCTGTGACTATTAACTCTGAAGACCCAAGTAGATAACTATTTTTAAGTCCTCCAACAAAGGGAAGGATCCTACTTAGTGATGACAATGGGCCGAGCCAGGTACGGGGCTAAGTTTACACTATCAAGATAAGATGGGCATGGGTCGGGCTGGGGACCCCTGTCTCCAGTTCGACCCAAAAGCCCAAGGGGACTCCCTGATCCCAACCCGTAGCCCATTCAGGGAATTCAGGGAATCGCCAAATAAACCCGTTCCCCAAACAAGGAAATCAAGGATTCCCCGAATTTCCTGTTTAGGGGTTTTGTGTCCTTATTACCACGTTCTCCAAACTATAATATACCATCCGAAAAGAAATTAAATCTATAATATACATATTAAACATAAAGACTATACCATACAAAAAGAAATTAAATCTATAATATACATATTAAACATAAAGATCATCATACTAAATTGATAATATATTAAAATAGAATTGAAATAATGATTCAATAAGGGACAAAAATAAAATTATAATGATTTATTATAATCAATCAAAACACCAAATGATATATTACACATATATATTATATATTAACATATAACTATAGATAATATCATATTATATATAATGTATAACATATATATGTTATATACATTATACTTATATACACTATATAATGTATAATGTACAATGTATAATATATAATGTCAAATGTATACCATATATAATGTATAATGTCGAATGTATAAATTTTATATATATATATATATATATATATGCCAGGCCGGGGATTTCGAAGCAAGGTCGGGCCGAGGCTGGGCAAGACCTATCCCAACCCCAGCCCGTCCCCAAATTTCAAGACTAATTTTGAGCCCGATCACGACCCAAATCCCGAATGATTTGAGGAAACTCTGCCCCGTTCGGGTCAGGTCGAGTCCCTGTGGGGTCGAGTTTTATGCCCATCCCTAGAGATAATGCTAAGGGTTCTACGACAGTGTCAGGGGTGTAGGACAAATCAATATTTTTATTTTTGAGGGACAAAAAATTGCTCAATGTCTCAAATGTCAATAGTATTTTGAAAACCAAAATTTATTTAATGCAAATTATAGAAAAAGTTATTAAAAGAAAAATAAAGCATATACCCGCAACATTTTTACAATCTCTATTATATGTTCAACTATAGATGTGAAGCAAAAACTTAGAAATCTTCTCCTGTTTGTTTAATATTTTTTTAAATTCTATTCTATTATCATATTTAAAGTAAACAGTAAAAAATGTGTTTGTTTTAATATTGACGAAATTCAATTCAAAATCCAATCATATTCTATTCAACTCAAAATATTTAACAATTACCTTTCACAATAAACATTTATAAATTAACAAAAACACCCCCACCCACCCAAGCCACTGTCCACTGCCAACAACCACCACAAGCCACCGATGTCAGAACGACGCACAAATCGGTCGAATCTGGCTGATTCTGTACTGATTTGAGCATTTCAAGCTAGATGTGGCCATTGACGACGACCATCAACAACAGCCAAATTTTGGCCATTAACAACGACCAGATTCTAGTCGTAGATCTGGTCAATTTCGATCAGATACATGGTGGATTTGACTAGAAAATGTCAGATCGACGTACAACTGGTCAGATGTAGTTGGTTGTGTGCCATTCCGACAATTGCTGGCCACCGTATGACAGTCGACTAATAGAAGACACGAAATTATGATTATTTTTGTATGGGAACATGGAAGAAAATTACCTGGATTCATATCAATAAGCCAATGATGATGGTTGAAGCCATAGGAAATCACTGAGCAGTAAATGAGGGCTAGCATTATTAGAGAAGCGGACCTGGGATCAAAGTGGTAAAATTTCCTTTGCCAAAGTAGGTCTAAATAAAATAAATTTCCACAGACAGCATGCACTACAACATTATACAATTCTAGCCATGACGTTTATTGTAGCTAAAAATATGAATTTGCGTAGTTAAATGGTTTAACTACAAATGCAATGTTTTGTAGCTTATCGCAACTAAAAGTGGCGCAGCTAAAAATTAGTTATGTAACTTTTTGCTTACGTAGCTAACAATTCATACTTTTTGCTATGGATGAGATTAATATGTAACTAAAAACTTAAATGTTTTTGCTATAACAATAATAAGCTTGTAGCAAAAGCTTTGCCTTTATAGCCATGAGGAATAGTCAACATAGCTATGTTTGCATTTTAGCTACATAAATATAAGTTTAAAACTAAAACTTGAAAATTCCAACTACAAAAATAATATCCATGACAAATATATTAACATTTTGGCTACATGATCACTAAATTTGTAACTAAATAAAAAGATCATTTGCCACACACATAATGAATGTGTAGCTAAATATTAAATTATTTACTACAGACATATAGAATTCATATCTATATATGAAAAGATATTGTTATGAACATAGTGTATTAATAACTAAATATTGAAATTACTTATTATGAATACTTTTGATTTGTAGCTAAAAATTATAATTATTTGCAATGGACATATTGAAGTCATATCTATATGTGAAATTCAGTTGCTATGGACATAGTTTGTTCATAGCTAAATATTGAAATAACTTGCTATAAATACTTTTGATTTGTAGCTAAAAATTATAATTATTTGCAATGGAACAAATAATTTATATCAAGAATTTATAATTTATTGCTTCGATTAAAATTAATTGTAACAAATATCGCTATAATTAACAAATTTAATAATAATTACAAATTTATAACAATGTTTTATATTAAATAATTAATATAACGTCATAAGAAAAATTCTAATATAAAAATTAAAACATTAATAAAGTCATTTTCAACCAAATAATTGTCTATTCACAAAATCCTTCATCCTAGTAATTTAAAATGTTATCAACTAATTTTTTTACAAAATATGAATGCTTCAATGTCATTACTACCAGCACCAAAACTTCTCTTTTTTACCTCAATGTGGTTCCCAACAACCAAAATGAGACCACCACCACTATTGTTTCACTTGTATGTATAACAACCACATCATCCTCTTGCTTCTTTAATGAGAGCTCATGCATGTTCATGTAGATTTCCAGACAAAACACAGATATGTTAGTATTATTCAACATCAATTTATTATAAGGAAATTAACTAGTTGCAGGCACGTAGTAACCTTTCCATTTTGGCCATGGCTTCCTTGAGCAGCTTGAACTCCATAGCACAAACAGGATCCTGAGTCGAATTATCACCATCTAATTAATTTCTGCGTCTCATAATTTCTCAGGAATTGAACTTTCTTCCTCTTACCCTACTTGAGCATCCCTCTACTCTTAAGCTCATTCCAGTGCCACCCTTTCTTGGAAGGTTCCAATAAGATGACATTTTTAGGAATCTCAATAGGTGCTGATAAGAGTCTATTGTAAAGTAGTAGTTCATGACCAACTTCCTCGGGTTCCATGGTGTATTTTTTTGTCCAGTGAAGGCATCTTCGCCTTGAGCTCTTGTTCAATCTTGTTGTTACTCAAGTGTGACTATGTATGCACTGAGAGAGTAATAAGATAAATGTGCTTCGTATCAATACTAAAAAAGAATTATTTAAATTAATAATATTAATATTTAGTTTGATTGTTTGACTGAGTGCAGAGAATAAAAGTGGAATGCAAATTGCATAATAATTATGTTTAATGATAGATCATCTAAGACTAACAAAAAGTCATACTTCTTGCGAAGCTTCACAAGTTCAACCATTGATGCAAATTCTCCATCCATACTAAACAAGCTGCAGAAAGAAGAGAATTAAGCACATCATCAAAAAACATGCCAGAAGTTAAAAAAAGTCAGGATTTTCAGCAATAAAAACATTAAAAAATAAAAATAAATAGTAGAACATATAAACATGGTAAGACCAGCAATCTGTCAAACATATGGTATATTACCAAAACACCTAGCAAATATTTCCAAAAGACTAACTGTGAACCACAGAGCAGAAAGGTTTCATAGACAAGATGCAAAATATCCAAGGTATAACACATTCATAAATGGATCCTTCAATCCCAAGTTCTCCAAAGAAATGTATCCACTCTCCAGGAACTAGAGTGGTCTTCTATGAGATAACTGAATTTAGATTCATACCACATTTTCCCTTTAGAACCCTAAACAAGTCCCTTGATGTAAATTCTCATTTTGTACATGCCAAAGTTTCCATTTCATGTCTGCATATGTTAATTTTGTTATAGAAGAGTTAGTAGGAGTTGGCAAAAAATTTTGCTAGAGACATTTGCAGGAGCCTATCTTTTGTGCAATTTCTAATTGGACTATACTAGCAGATAAAGTTACTCATTCCATTTATTTGATGTCACTACGCTTGTTAAAATTGTGGTAGCTCCATAGTCCATACTCAACATGACAACAGATTCTTCTAAACAAACGAAACTCCCATAAGACAACACAAACTTTAACAACCTTTTTATCTTTTAGTACAACTCTAAGAACTGAAAACACAGTGTATGATTCTGAGGATTAGAGATATTGCCGCAACCACTTGAAAAACAATGGCCACAGGAGAGGTAAAATTAGACAGATGAAAAAGACACAATCTGGGCCACCAGCTTCTTCTACAACTGTTCAGATTTTGGCAAATGTCACGATAAAACTAACCATTAAAAAAACAGAAAGGGAATCCATAAAAAAAAAAAAATTTAACATACCCAGATCATCAAATTATCAAAAACAACCCTAGATCTCATCAAATAAAATCTAACCCATCAAATCAACACAATTCAAAATCTCAAAATACAACCTTAAACTCACCGAAATGAAATTGATGACCACATTGAAGCTTCGCCCACGACTGATCCCCATTATCGGTGATCAAATCAAAGGCAAATCGAGCACAAAAGAGAGCCAAAACCTTTACCACCGCTATTACACTCACCTCCATTGCTGAATGCATCATCAATTGTCACATCTTTGTTGTCATTAGCCCTTAATCCCATAATTAACCAAAATCCCCCAATTTGAAAACCCTAATTCAACGAAATAAAAAATCACTGCTACCACGACCCAAGGACAAGAAAAATAAATAAATTAAAATTACACGGAACCAGAAGATAGATTGACAGAGAAATGAAGGAGAAAGATAGTGAAACAAAATGGGTGTGAGATGTGTGAGAAAGAAGAGAATGAGGAGAAGAGAGTTGGAGAAAAGAATCTGAGGACTTAGGGGTTTACGGTTATTTATTTTTATTTTACATGGGTACCCACAGGATTTAATTTTTAAAACTGATTAAATTTGAAATTGATTATAAAATAATCAAATTGATAAAAGAATTTGAAAAGCACCTTTTGTAGCTTTTGAACATAAGATAATTTTTAAAACTCATTTGAAAATAAGAATGACAAATAAAGCCCTTTGTAAGATATCAAATTATAAAGTAATCTTATTAAAAAAACCAAATTAAACAAATAAATTGATTTAATCATTTTTTTTTCCATTATAAAAATTGGATTGCACTATGGCAATCACTGTTGGAGTTGACAATGATTGTCCAGCTCCGACAAGCCACCGCCGGATTTCGATTCGACGTTTGAGTGTAGGTAGAGGAAATATATTTGTCAACCACCTGCACTCAAACGCCACATCAACTTCTAGCAAAACCATTTGGCTTACATAGATCGACAAATTCCAATACTAGCAATACCAACTGTGTTGCTAGATGTGCCTAGACCTGGCAATACACTATCGTACCCGCGGGTAAACGGTTACCTGCACCCAACGGGCGGGTACAGGTATCCTATAACATGACTCGTACCCGACCCGCCCGTGAAATATGCAGGTGGGTTGGGTAATACTCGCGGGTACCCGCAATTGAATTTAAAAAAACAAATTCAAATTAAAATATCCTAAATTCAAATAAAATAACTAAACAAAACAAACCCTAAGTGAAAACGCAACTCTCACTCTCTCAGACTCACAGACACAGTACACACTCATCACTCAAGTCACTCAACTCTCCTTTCTCACGCGGCAATTCAGCAGGGCAGTGGCAGTACACGTCGACGAACTCAACTCTCTTCTCTCTCAAACTCACAATACAAACTCATCACTCAACTCTCTTCTCTTTCATAGGCAACGTAGCACAGCAGCAGCAGCACGCTCAATCGCTTATGACTGCCTCAGAGCTGACTGTCACCGACGAACTCAGCTCTCTTCTCTCACACAACAGCAGGCCAACAACACACTCACGGCTCCCTCACATCTCACTCACGCAGGACGTAGCCATGGTCAGATCAAAGCTCACTGTCACCAACGAATGGTAGCTCCCAAACCCAGGTCGTTGCTAACAAAACAGCAACAAATGCAGCTTTCCTGACATGACCCATCCCGAATTTCCTCATCCCGTAGGATCCGACACTCCCAGAAGACTCGAATACCCGAGACATGCCATGTAGAAAAACTGTGAAACCTGTTGGAAGACTTACTTTTCCTTAATAACATCCTAGTATTTCCATTTCCAACATCTAAAAAAAAAAACATACACCATCTATCGTTTAACAAAAGAAAAGATTTAAGGAAATTGTGGTATCAGGTTTTCCACTTATACAACACATTCTGAAACAAAAACAAAAGGAAATACATGATGGGAAACATGAGTTTTTGAAACGAAAGTCCAAAAATACAATACGACATAAATGTAAAACCCACATAAAAAGATGCCGATGTGTGGCACTACCTTGAGCTGTGACTCACTGCTCGGCACAATCTCCCTGTAAACCTGGGTTTGGGGGGGGGGGGGGGGGGGGGGTTTGAGGAAAACATTTTTTGAAAAGGGGTGAGCTAAAATACTCAGTGAGTGGGGGAAAGGGGAAGTTTGCAAAACATTCATCAAACAAAAGTTATGGCATGCAATGGTTCTTATGAAATACTGAAAATAACATGATTCTATGAACATGATATGGTGGTAGCTAATCATTCATGTATGCATGCATAACTCATTTCTAATTGTTCTAAGTATTATAATCTGATCAATTAAACTGACAGCAATTTCTGAATCCTAGCTCATCACTAAATGTTGAAAACTCTTTTATGAGAACTTAAAGAATAGTTGTAAATGCTTATGCTTCTGAAAACAATATTTTCTATAAATCATGCTACAAACATCGAATGTTTCATATAACTAATGCAAACTATCCATCAGATACTGAAAACTGAAACTATTAACTGATATTGAAAACTGTAGGCAGGTATTTGAAAACTTTAAACCGATATCATGTTCCGAAACAGTAAATTGATACTAAAGGTTCTCACCACAACTAGTATCCTAGGGAAAAAGCTCAATACCTGGTGGGCATCCCACACACAGGCAGGGTTGGGAAAAACATCTCAATACCCGACAAGATCTATCATCGCAGGCAAAGCCTGAAGAAAACCATCTCAATACTTGGCGGACAAGCTCAACGCCCAGACAGAGCACTAAATATCTCAATACGCATGCGTAGAGCCATAAACTAGATCTGATAATCTGTAACTCGAGGGGATGGGTACTTCGCAGGGTGGTTTTAGCACCACAACAATCTCATGCATAATCTCAAGTGACATGTAAGTCAAGAGCATATTACGTATGTGCTTATAAATCATACATATATGACATAATATTCAAAAATCGCATATAGGGGTGAAACTACAATTTTCTAAACATGTTTCAGAAACTGATGATTTAACCCAGATTAAAAATTACTTCAACATCACATGATCTTAGCATATGTCCGATACAAATCATAAGCAAATATCACTTTTAAAAGTCAAAACTCATATAACACATTATAATTATAATTAAACCCAAGAGCAAAAATAATAATAATAATAATATATGAATATTTCCTATAAGGATAAATCATGCCAACATATGAGATTTCATGGAAAATGGGGGGTAAAATGCAAGTTTTTAAAATATACTTTCAAAACTGATGAAAAACACCCCATTTTCTCTTTTTACCGAGAAAATTATTACCAACATCACAAATCTCAGTCCTTTCTTTAACATTTTAACAGCCAAATTACCTTAACTCCCAGCATTTTAACACACCATGAAAATCAATTTTCTCAAAGACAGACCAACTGGAAGCATGCAAGTGTATTCAACCAACCAACTTTTAGTCCAAATACATAACTCAAGTACCTATCAAAGTGCTGTCTAGACGAGTGCATGCAACCAAAATATTCAGCCACCATCACAGTTTATTGAAACAACCAAATGCATGCAAGTTCAATTAGCAAGCAAATTTCATTCCATTTTAAAACTCAAAACAACCACTCTAGAATCTGTACGAAAACATACAAAGAAAAATAAACCAAGCAAGCTTCACATTTAGCTCAAACCTCATCAAAATACAAAAAATGGCATACTAGAATTAACATGCAAGCATAGATCTAAGCTTTTAAGGAAGGTTTTCATTTGACCCACTCACAAATTCAACTCAGCCGAAACTCAATAAACTGTCAACTACTTTTCTCTCTCACTCCACCATTTTCAGCCGAAACCCATTCTTCTCTCTTCTCCTTTTTCTTCTTTTCTTCTTCTTTCTTTCTATCCTCTCTTCTATCTCTTCTCTCTTATTTTTCTCTCTTTCTCCTTTCGTTTTCTCTTCTCTCTCTCTTTTTTTTTTTTTTTTCTACTCTGTTTTTGCTTTCTCCCTCAACTCACGTCTTTTGCTTCTTCCTTTGGGCGAACTGCCCAGTTCTCTTCTTCTTTTAAACAAAAACGGTTTTCTGAAATTATAATTCTGCCCCCCAAATTTTCTAAATTTCAGTCTAACCCCGCCACCTAATCTTCTGCTAGCAAAACCTCTAGATTTTGTGCCCTTGGTACTGTAAACCCAACAGTTTCCATTTCTTCGTTTTCACCCCCAACCAAAGTTTAAAATTTGATAGAAAAGTCCCTCCTTGTAAACAAAACCAAAGGGAATATATATATATATATATAATTAGAATGGGGTTTTACATTTCCCCTCACTGTCACTCAGCTTCGACGACTCTCAGATCAGTCTCAACTTTGTCACACCGACGAACGGCTGCTTTTGCATTGTGAGTTTGTGACTCACTTACTATATCAAGGATTATCCAAGGTAATGATATCGACGCCGTAGATCTTTCTGATTCAGCTGATAAGCATGATAAATGATCCATGTCAATAGGTTTTCTTCTAGAAACAAACAAAGGGATAAAACAAAACAAAACAAAACAAAACAAAACAAAACAATTATATTTATCTCACACGTCTCAAACTGACTCAGAAAGATTAAAACCACTTGTATAAGGCTAGGTCGTTAGTAACTGCTTGTGAGTTGTGAGTTGTGACTGCTTCATTAATTAAAGTAGTTGACACTTCTCTATCAGTTTACTCAATTTGAAAGGTTATAAATAATGGGAGTGTTTTGAATTTCTATTAATGTTAGAATCATTATTTGCATTATGATTTGTGAGCATTGAGTTACTGGAGTTGAGGAGTGTTGATTGTTGAGTTGGAAAAATCCAGTCATTTGGTAGGGCTGGTTTGCTTGTAAAATATATGGGAGTGTTTTTTTTTTTTTTTTGGATGAATTGTTATGATTGGTTAATTAATTTAAATGTAAATACTTAGTTGTGTCCTTTAGACTTGCTTGGTATGGAAGAGTCTACAGATTTGTTTAATGAGGCAATAGAAACGGGTTGTAATGTAGCTGTAGGTCAACCTCCTTCTAGTGGTAGTACTGCTTGTCCAAAAAGACGTAAAGTTTCAGATGTTTTGGGTCAATTCACAACATATGTGGAAGACAATGGGGATGTGAGAGCAAGGTGTTTGATTTGTAGTAAGTCTTACATATGGTAGTTCCACTCATGGGACTAAGAATTTGAGGCGCCATATGGAAGGTTGTCCTAAACATACCATTAGTAGTGTAGAT